TTGGTTGACCAAACTTGGTCAAGACCTTGGACGCATTAAAGAAGTAAGTGTTAAATCATCACGGGAGATTCCCTCAAGATAGGGGAGAAGGATGAAACCTTAGCCTGGGAAGCAGGGTCTAACAAGGATCTTAAAGTCAAGCAATTGCCAACACCAAGGAAGAAGGATCATCAGTTCATAATACGTCGTGATCAAAGCATCAAACCAGAATAGTCACTTGAAGATCGAGAACCCTTAACCCATCCTAGCCGAATTCCCTTCCCTCCATCGGAAAATCGGCCCCCTCCTTATTTCAAAACCCTTTCTACCCTTCAACCACACTCTTGATCCCCTATTTTAACGATTCCATACAAGGTGGCAACCTCACACCCTAAGTTGCAACCTTGAAAACTTTGATCCTAATTCCTAAATTCACTTTGTCCTCAGGTTTGAAACCCACTCTCTTAGCCCTTTAAACCTAATCGTTCCCAAAAACCCAGCACACATAAACATACAATTATACAGTTTCCCCGTAGAATGCTTTCGCTATAGGACCACCGTACTACTTTGGACTCGTTACCCCCACAATGACTTCCAAGCTTCGGGGACGAAGCTTCTCGTAAGGGGGGGAGCGTGTAACACCCCGTGTTACGGCCTTCAATCCCGGATTAATTATTTAATTAATCCCGTTAATAATAATTAAATATGATTTAATTCGATTAGGTTTCCTTTAATTAATTAATAAGGTCCACCATGAACCGTGGACCCTTGCCTAAATTAGAGCCCTAAGCCTATTAGGAATAAAGAAAGTAAACCCTTTACTATTCAGATTCTAATTAGGAATCCTAGACCTAGTTATCTATTAGGAATAAAGGAAGTAGGCCTTTTACTATTCAGACTACGATTAGGATTCCCTTTAATTAATTAATATGGTCCACTATGGACCATGGACCCTTATCCCTAAAATAAGCCCTTAGTTCTATAAGGAATAGAATTAGTAAACCCATACCATTCAGACCCTAATTAGGAGTCTTAAATATATAAATAGGGATATAGGAGGCACCTAGATCTTTCACCACCATAATCTCTCACAACACAAGAAGTTCCAAGAATCCCCTTAGGAGAAATCAAGAAAGAAGAAGGCTTAAAGAAAGACCCTTCATAGCCAAGGAATTAATTAAGGCTAAGAGGTAACCCATGTCTCAACAAAACCTATTTTCATAGCTATGATTTCCCCCGTAGGATTTCCCCATATTATACTGTATTGATGATTTGTGATATTATTATTGATGATTGATGGGATAATTCCATGGGTGATCTTGATGATAAAAGGTTCTTGATAATTATGGTGTTCTTGATGATTATATGACGTTCTTGATGATTATATGATGATCTTGATGATCGTAGGATGTTCTTGATGTTTATATGATATTCTTACCGAATCTTGATATTGAAAGATGAATTGTGTCCTTGTTGATTTAAAAATGATTAGAACCCTAGGTTGTATCGTATGGAATTATTCTTGGTATATTGGGTGGGAATTCGCATGATTGGGTGTTGATTATGTTTAGAAAAGCATGATAGGTTATGTGCCATATGTTTTCTCGATCTTTGACCCGTTAATTGTCTACGTGTGTTATCAAATGCGTTTGAAAGTGTCTAAGCATGGTTTCGGGTTCCACAAAGGTTCCCGGGGCGTTTTTGGTGAAAAAGAGTCAGTGGGGGGTAGGTGGGGGTAGGGGACCCGCCACCTACCCGCGGCCTTCTTAGGCAACGCCGGCAGGCGGGCAGCTGCCCGCCGGGCACCCGCTGCCCGGATTAGCTACCGCCGGCGGGTGATTCCTCACCCACCGGCTACCCGCTGGTTTGGACCCCACCGTGGGATTTTGGCTTCCCCGTTTGATGTTCCCCTGACCCCCGTGGTGTCCCAACGGGCTCCGTCTATCGTGCCTATGTCTAGTTTGATATTTCGGGTGCCGTTCGTAGGTTGTATGAGTCTTATATATTACATGCTAGTTGAATTGGTATCCCGTTGACCTAGGTGAAAGAAGTATGAACCCCTTAGGATTATTCTTAGTATGTGAAGGATCACGCATAGGTTTTGATTATACGTTTTCTCCCCCTTCCCAATGTGTTAATGTGGGTTGCATGTGCTTGCTATGTGTTATGTGTGCATGATACCCCAATTCGGTTGCGATCGGATTGGTTATTCCTGAGCTGTGGTTCAGAAGCTGGCTGCGGTCAGATTTACACTCTTGGGCTGCAGTCCACCGTTTGGTTGCGATCAAACGTTTCTACATGAGCTGCGGTTCATATTTCCTGGCTGCGGTCAGATGACATACTCTTGGGCTGCGGTCCACTGTTTGGTTGCGATCAAACTATGATGAGGTGCGGTTCATCGGTCGGTTGCGATCGACCCCTCCGTGTTGCGATACGGGGCAGGGTGCTGCGGGACCGTGTAAGAGCTATATGCGCTGACCCTCATGTATGGGCATGCGATTGGTCCTGTGGTGCCAACAAAGTGTGCTATGTGATGAGACATGGAGGAGTTGTTGTTATGAGTGCCTTGGGGTTGTGACTTTGGGATTCATATTGGGAATCGTATATGTTAGGTTATGATTATTAATTGTGCTGATCTTGTCTATCTTGCCTGTTGTAAACTGTATATGCTTGGTATAACTGCTGTCTGTGCTTAGCCCTATCTGTTGAGTCGATCCCTGTTTTAAAAGCTAGAGTCTCGTAGGATATATCTTCATGCTTCAAAATGGTTTTCGTATATCTATATATATCTCTATATGTAATGTATTTCTACGCGTTGGAGTGGGTTACCAGCATCTCTCGCTGAACAGATATATTTGGCTTTCAGGCACTGATGAGTAGACACCGGAGCGCACTAGAGATTCGAGGCATAGTGTAGATAGTTTCCCTTTTGGCCTGCGTGCCATTTACATTATTACGGATTTTAATTAGTTAGCCTGTGCATCTGAGTTCTCCAGCTCAGTTGTGGCATAGCACCCCGTACCTTTATGTTTAACATTGCTCTGTTTGGGATTTAATAAGAGAATACCTTTATTATATAAGTCTTTAAAAGTTTTAAAATTTCGGGGTGTTACGAGTAGATAGTTCCCTTTCGGCCTGCCTGCCATGTTATGCATTTACTTTGTTAAGAATATTAGTTAGTTGGCATGTGCACCTGAGTTCTCTAGCTCAGGTGTGGCATAGCACCCCGTACTCTTTATGTTACGTTTTGAATTAATGAGATTTCTCCTTTATTTTATAAGTTTTAAATGTCCTGAAAATCTGGGGTGTTACAGTTGGTATCAGAGCCTAAGTTGACCCTAGGATAAGACTCTTAAAATCGTACTTTAAGACATTAAGCTTGAACTCTAGATATTTAAGAACATAGGATCCAAGAATCTTAGGACGCGCGGTGAGATTGTGAAACCTACACATAACCTCTCCTCCCTTACCTGAAGAAAACTTTCCCCCGCTTATCACGTCAAAGAAGGACACCAAGCCCCAATTTAACATTCTTATAAACGTTGACTCAGGAAGATGACAGCATGGCACCCAAAAGAAGACAATCAAGGACTCCAGAACCCGCCGCACACGACCCCCTAACCCAAACACTAAAACAACTAACACAAGTCGCCCAAGCACTAAGCGACGTGGCTCTCCGCAACAACAGGCCCCCACCACCTCCATCGAACGCAAACGCAGACTTCGCCCGACAAGTCTCTAACCATTGACCACCCACGTTCTCAGGAGAAGAGGATCCCGTAATCCTGGAGGAATGGATCCGAACCCTCGACAAAATTCTCGGGTTAGTAGAATGCCCAGAAGAACGCCGTGTGGAGATAGCCTTGTTCTACTTCGGACACGAGGTCGATCTTTGGTGGATCCACGAGGGTCCCACTTACCAACAAGAACCGGGGTTCAACTGGGAACAACTCAAAACGCGACTACGAGAGCGATTCTATCCAACACACGTAAGAGCATCCATGTACGAAGAGTTTCGCCACCTGAAACAAGGGACAGCTACCGTTATGGAATACCACAAACGATTCCTTGAACTAGTACGCTTCGCACCAGAACTTGTCCCCACCGAGGTAACCAAAATAGAGAGATTCGTATCGGGCCTCAACTTTGAAGCCCGAAAAGCACTAGTGGTAAGCAGACCTCGGACTCTCAACGAGGCTTACTCTAGTGTCGCTAATCTCTACCGAATCCAACTACTCCAACGCGGGGTTCAGGAACAAATACGAAAGAGGAACCCCGGAGGAGGGGCAACACCAGTAAAGAGAACAAGAAACGATGCCAACACAAGACTAAGTAACCTGACCAACCAAAGGCCACCTCTGGGGAACAACGACGCTAGCGCCAGAAGCTTTCCTTGCCCGAAATGCAACAAGAACCATAGAGGCAAGGATTGCATGGGCAATCCCTTGCGATGCTTCAACTGTGGAGAGGAAGGACACAAGGCCTTCCTTTGCACCCAACCCGAAAGACCACGCACTACCACCATGGGACAACATGGGGGCACCGCTCATCGAGGAAACTACGACGCTCCCGGAAAAATATTCGTCATGAGCCGCACTCAAGCCGACCTCGGGAACGAGAGCAATCTTGAGGAAGGAAACCTAACCCCAGAAGACGAGGACCACGCAAACCCCGTGGGAGAAAACCAAGAAGACGAATTCTGTCTAGGTTAGGTTAGCAATTTCTTGTAATCACCTTCGTGGTAGAACTACTTATTTAGCTCAATTACTTCGGAGATATTATAAATAAATGATCGGTTCGGGTCCTAGAACTATACAAACTAGCCAAGTCTCACCACTAGAAGACAAAAGAAGGAAAAAAACAAGGGCCCCATCATTAAAAGGCCTAGTGTTACTAATGAGAATTGAGCTCTTAACCTTCCACTTAAGTGACCGAGACTCTAACCACTAGCCCATAAGTGTTTCTTGAAACCTCAAGGGAACACTCCCTTGTTAAAGCCCCTACAAATCCCTAAAACCCACAAAATCCCCAAATCAAAAACCCTTCTTTTTCTTCCCTTTCTCCTTCTTCTTCCCCACTCCCTCCCCTACTCTCTCTCACGCTCCTCGCCGCACCCCACCGAAGAAACCCCCCAGCCACTCGACGCCGCCACCAGCCTAACGCCGTCGCCTGCCAACCACTTCCCGCCAGTCCCACGCCGCTACACCAGCAGCGCCCCGCCACCTTCGCCGGGCGGTCGCCCAGCCACCGCCCGCTGCCACGCACCGCCCAACCCCACTCAAAACCCATCACCGCCCCTCGCCGAGCCACCACCTCCCCTCGCCAAGCCACCGTCGGAGCGCAGTTCACCGCTGCTCACCTTGGCCGCAAGGAAAAACGCGCCGCCGGAAAATACGCCAGAGCCCCGCCGGAAAAGCCGCCGGAGAAGTCACACCACCGGAGCACTCGCCGGAAAACGCCACTTGAAAGAAAAAGGAAATGCCGAAAAAGCCCCTCGGAACCCGCACCCCGGAATGGAGTAACGCCGATTACACCGTAATCGGAGGTAAAGCCCTTGAACCCGACCAATTTTCTCCGGAATTGGTTGATATGCTTAAACACCAAGGTCTCCTGGATACGTATCTCACCATCAAGGGGGATACGTACCCCGAATTGGTGAAGGAATTCTATCAACATCTTGTAGCCACCAAACGGGGTGACAAACTAGAAATCACCACCAAGGTCCGCGGCAAGGAAATTGTGCTTTCCGAAGGCCGTCTGGCCAAGCTCTTGAAATTGACCACCATGGGTGTGTCTAACTACGACCGGAAGGGATGGATGGATACCCAAAACACGGGGTACAAGGACTATCTCGGGTACCTACTCGGGAGAGAGGACGAGTTCACCTCGGCCACGCGACCAAACTGAAAAGTGGCTATCGGCGGAGCAAAAGATATTGGTTATGATTGTGACCGATAATAAGAGCAAGGACGTAGGGAGCTTAGAGTGCACCTTTGTCTATCTCCTGAAACATAAAATCAAGTTCAACCTGCCAGCACTCATGCTAAAACACATGGAGTTTTGCAAGACAAACAACCGACTTAGCCTACGATACGGGATGATCCTAAGTTGGATCATGGAGAAAAAGGGGGTGGACCTAAGCCACACCGAGGTCAAGACCAGAAATGGAATCGTCTTTAACGCCCAGAACCTACGCCGTAATGATATCTACTGCACCGAGGGAGGACATTACCTCACCCTCGAAGAAATTTGCCAAAAACCCGAGGATGAACGAAGAGAATTGGTCGACCAATTAGACATCTCCAACAAGAAGCTCAAACGGGCAATGCAAGATTGCGGATTTCTGGAGGGAAATGAGGACCAGGAGGAGGATGACGAACCCAACCCGTCGGTGCAACCACGATCAGGAGGGAACCCAAGGGAGCAAAACGAGGGCTCAATCAATGAACGCATACTCGCACAGCTCAACCGGCAAAACCAAATCATGGAGGAAGGGTTCTCATCCTTGATCCGTACGACACGCGCACTAGATCAAAGGGTGGCAGCAATCGAGGCCACCTTGGGCACTCGCGGGGCGTCCAGCTCAGGAGCAGGACACCGAGATAGACCTAAAACCCTTCTATCACAACACCACCAGAAATCCAGTCTACCCCAGCTAGGGCAAAACGTGGGGCCACATTCCTAACCGGGAGGCCAAGATGCGGGATGCCTAGGGGTGAAAGAATGGATTAACACACCAGGCTTCGGGGACGAAGCCCCTCGTAAGGGGGGGGGGGGGGGGAGAGTTTAACACCCCGTGTTACGATCCCTAAAACCAATTAATCATTTAACCAATTACCCAAAAGAAAGAATTAAAATCACAATAATTAATTAGGAAAGGCCCACCATAGTCCATGGGCCCTTATCCCTAAACCCAATCCTTAGTCCCAAAAGGAATAGAATTAGCAAGCCTATAATATTAGTTCCTAATTAGGACTCCTAAATATATATATATAGGGGACTTAAGAGGCACCTAGAACCACCACCACAATAACGTCTCACCACCCAAAGAGCTCCAAGAATTCCCTTAGAAGAAATCAAGAAAGCAAGAAAGCTTAAAGAAAGACCCTTTATAGCCAAGGAATTAATTAAGGCTAAGAGGTAACCCATGTCTCAACAAAACCTATTTTCATAGCTATGATTCCCCTCTTAGGATTTCCCCATATTATTGTGTATTGATGATTTGTGATATTATTATTGGTGGGATGATTCCATGGCTGATCTTGATGATGGGAGGTTTTTTTTTAATTATGGTGTTCTTGATGATTATATGACGTTCTTGATGATTATATGGTGTTCTTGATGTTCTTAATGATTATATGATGTTCTTGGTATTTATATGATATTCCTACCGAATCTTGATGAATTGTGTTCTTGTTGATTTAAATATAATTAGAAACCTTGGTTATATCGTGGGATTCGTATGGTATTATTCTTGGTATATTGGGTGGGAATTCGCATGATTGGGTGTTGATTATGTTTAGAAAAGCATGATAGGTTATGTGACGTTTGTTTCTTGATTTTGATCCATTAATTGTCTACGTGTGCTATCAATTGCGTTTGAAAGTGTCTGAGCATGGTTTCGGGTTCCACAAAGGTTCCTGGGGCGTTTTTGGGGAAAAAGAGTCAGTGGGGGGAAGGTGGGGGTAGGGGACCCGCCACCTACCTGCGGCCTAGTCGGGCAACGCCGGCAGCGGGCAGCCGGCGGGCGGGCAGCTGCCCGCCGGGCACTCGCTGCCCGGAATAGTAAAACGCCGGCGGGTGACCCCTCACCCACCGGCTACCCGCTGGTTTGTACCCCTCTTCGGGATCCCGGCTTCCCCGTTTGATGTTCCCCCGACCCCCGTGGTGTCCCAACGGACTCCGTCTATCGTGCCTATGTCTAGTTGGATTTTCGGGTACCGTTCGTAGGTCGCATGAGTCTTATATATTGCATGCTAGTTGAATTGGTATCCCGTTGACCTAGGTGAAAGAAGTATGAACCCCTTAGGAATATTCTTAGTATGTGAAGGATTACGCATAGGTTTTGTTATACGTTTTCTCCCCCTTCCCAATGTGTTAGTGTGGGTTGCATGTGCTTGCTTTGTGTTATGTGTGCATGTTACCCCGATTTGGTTGAGATCAATCGGGAATAAATATTATATAGGACAAAGGTCCACTATACGTGCAGTTGAATGGGTTGAGAACCATCCCAACTGTTAACCAGGTTGGTAAAGACCGGTCAGGTATATAATTATTATATAGAGCTGCGGTTCATCGGTCGGTTGCGATCGACCCTGTAACACCCCTGATTTTCAAGACATTTAAAACTTAATAATAAAGGTAGCATCTCATTAAATTCCAAAACGTAACATAAGTGTACGGGGTGCTATGCCACACCTGGGCTAGAGAACCCAGGTGCACAGGCTGTCTAACTACTTTCCTCTAAAATATAAATGCATAATATGGCACGCAGGCCGAGAGGGAAACTATACTACTTCTACGCTCCAGTTCTAGCGCGCTCCAGTGCTCTAATCCTCTATGCCTGAAAGCCAAATATATCTGTTCAGCGAGAGATGCTGGTAACCCACTCCAACGCGTTGAAATACAATACATATAGCAATATATATATATAGATATACAAAACCATTTTGAGCATGAGAATATATCATACGAACTCTAGCCTTAAAACCGGGAATGACTCGACAGATAAGGCCAGACGCCAGCAACAGTTATAACGAGCATATGCAGTTCACAACAGATAAGGCAGATAAGGCAAAGCATAACAATAATCATAACCCAACATGAACAATCCCCAATATAAATCCCATAGTCACATTCCCCAAGGCACTCATAATCACAACTCGTCCATATCACAACACATAACACACTTCGTTGGCGCCACAGGACCAATCGCATGCCCATACATGAGGGTCAGCGCATATAGCTCTGACACGGCCCCGTAGCACCCTGCCCCGTATCGCAACGCGGAGGGGTAGATCGCAACCGACCGATGAACCGCAGCTCATCATAGTGTTTGATCGCAACCAAACAGTGGACCGCAGCTCAAGAGTGTGTGTTACCTGACTGTAGCCAGGAATTCCCATCTGACTACAGCCAGCCTCTGAACCGCAGCTCAGGAAGATGTCACCTGAGTGCAGCCAGGAATTCCCGTCTGACTACAACCAGCTTCTGGACCGCAGCCCAGGATACCGTCATCCGACTATAGCCAGGAATTCCCATCTGACTGTAGCCGGCTTCTGAACCGCAGCTCAGGATAACCAATCCGATCGCAGCCGAATTGGGGTAACACGCACACATAACACGTAGCAAGCACATGCAACCCACATTACACATTGGGAAGGGGAATAAAGCGTATAACAACCTTATGCGTGATCCTTCACATACTAAGAATAGTCCTAAGGGGTTCATACTTCTTCCACCTAGGTCAACGGGATACCAATTCAACTAGCATGCAATATAATAGACTCATAAACCTACGAACAGTACCCGAAATATCAAACTAGACATAGGCACGACAAACGGGGTCCGTTGGGACACCACGGGGATCGGGGAAACATCAAACGGGGAAGCCGGGGTCCCGAGGGGGGAAAATTCCAGCGGGTAGCCGGTGGGTGGTGGGCCACCCGCCGGAGTCACTGTTACGGGCAGCGGGTCGCCGGCGGGCAGCTGCCCGCCCGCCTGCTGCCCGCTGCCGGAACAGTGTTCTCGGCCGTGGGTAGGTGGCGGGTCCCCTACCCCCCACCTACCCCCCACTGACTCTTTCATCAAGTTTTCGTCCCGGGAACCGTTGTGGAACCCGAAACCATGCTTAGACACTTTTCAACGTAATTAACGACAACACATAGACAATTAACGGATCAAATACGATAAACGAACGGCACATAACCTATCATGCTTTTCTAATCCTAATCCACACCCAAACATGTGATTTCCCCACCCGATAACCCAAGAATAATAACATACGATACAACCTAGGGTTCTAATTATTTTTA